GAGCGGACACTGCCCTCTCCTGGACCGGCCCGACTTCCGCCACCACGGCGCCGCTTCCAGCGCACGGACAGGGGCTTCCAGGAGCCCTTCAGCATGAAGCCGGGTCGTGCTGGGAGACGACGAGCCCGGCAGCGCTCTGTCCACGCGCTGTCGGCTGAAAACAGTTCTCAGATCATTCTCTCAGGCGTGGCTGCTCATCAGTACCCGGGCGCCACTCGACAGCCCCACCCAGCTGGGTGCACCAGCAGGGATTTGCCCCCGTCGAGCAGCTGGCCCCGAATCTGTCGCTACCCTGACCCAAATTCATTCCTCGTGCAGCTGCAACTGCACTGGCTCCAGTAGCCTGGGAGAGGCGCCCCCCCCTGCCTGCAGACCTTCCCTCGCAGCCTGCATGCAAAATCCCGAGGATGGCCAGCTTCACGTGGTCATCTTACACGGGCCGGGCTGGTGAACCGCTGTGCTGGATCGGTTCCGGCTGAGATTATTTATCTTGGGCCAATGTGACAGTGACTGGGTAATGGCCGGGTGTTTTTAGCACTCTGGGAGGTGGGGACCACCGGAGAGCGGCCCTGCGCGTTCTCCTGGCAGAGGCTTCCCATTCACTGTGCCCACCAGGCCCACCACGGACCAGCAGCCATTAACCCTTGCGACAGGCAAAATCTTCAGAAAAGGAAATCGGTGGCAAATGCGAGGAACGAGTCATTCTTAAAGAGGCTTTTACATCGTTGCAAAGTCAGCGGATGCAGCACACCCGCGTGCATGCACACCCGCCGGCGCTCCGCACGGACGTGCCATCGGCGCGGGCAACAGGCCAACCCGCCCGCTTGTGCCGGCCTCAGGGTTGCGCAGGCCGCCTCTGAGCGGGCTCAGTCCTGTGTTGGACTCGAGCGCCCCCCAGTGCTCTCAGCTGCGGCCACCGGGGGAAGTTTCGCAGCTTTTCGAGATTTAAATAAGTATCTCCAAGATTTTCTTGCCGTTAGCCGTCTCCGACTCCGGGCGGGACTCCGGTTTTAGGATCCGTGCAGACACCTCTCCCCCATGTCGCTCCAAAACGTCCCTCACGCCAGGCCAGCGCAAGCCAGGCTGTTTCAACGACAGCAAAGCCCAGCCCACGTTGTGCAATGCTATTGCCAGCAGCAGTCTGCACAGGAAAGATGTTGTTTTCCCTTCCACAGATCCTGACAGATGTTTGTGAAGTGATGTTGTGAAATTCTCATACACAGAGGATGTTGCTAATCTCTTAGGTGACTAACCTCGGACCACCTGGAGGCTTTTATGCTCAGGGATTCCTGGACAGTGTTTGGCTCAGTCCTTCCTCGGGTGGCCATCATCGAGGACTCTGTCCTCTGTTGCTACAAAACACGACACTTTTATGTCCTCTATTTTTCTTGAAAGAGAAGAATAGAGGACATAAAGGCATCGGGTTTCGTAGCAATAGAGGACAGAGGACAACCGGACTGTCCTCTATGATGGCCACCCTAGTTCCTACGTGTGTCCCCTCTACCCCATCTGCCTGTCCCCCGGATCAGTCAGCTACCTCTGCACTGAGTCCAGGAGGGCTGCAGCTTTCCTGGGTTGCCTCGACCCCCAAAGGTAGAGACATCCAAGTCCCCTTGAACCAGAGGAAAGCCAGGCCGCCCTCCAAAGTCTGGAAGTCTGCCCCATGTCTTTGCAAAGGGATAACAAGGCTTCCTTCCTTCTCTCCTCTCTCTTGCCTGCTGACATGGCAAGCTCTTCCCAAGCAGGGACTGTCTTTCACACAGATTGTCACAGTGGAGCATCGCGAGTGATACTAGGATTGCTACTAAAAGTCCAGCACGTCTGTCTCTACCTCTCCGGGTGTGCGGGACGGGGAAGCAGCTTCCCCGCAGCACCGCGGCAGCAAGCGGGATGGTCTGCCTGCCCCCTGCCCCCGGGCCCCAGGCCTGGTGCGGGGCGGAAGAGTCACTGTTTCCTCGCCTCCCCGGGCTGCATTACCTCACCTCTGCGCTGGGTGAGCACCGCCAGGACCCAAGCCGCCTGCGTACACTACCGCAGTCCAGACCCAGGGCGGGAGCCGCAGGAAAACAAAGCTTGTTTTCAGAGAATAAAACGCTTTCACCCCCGCACCCCCTCCTCCTTTTTAATGTTAAAAGGCAACGCCAGCAATGGAAACAAAACATCTCCGCGCTGCAGAAGCCGCCCCAGAGAACCTGTGGGCACAATCGCCTGCCTTCAGCAGCACTGGGAATCCAAATAAAGGTGGGAGGGAGCTCGGCGTTAACTTCTTTTGTCTGGTTCAGCTCCCCGCCAGTGTCACTGGAGCTCATTCAAAGCCAAATTGTGTTGAGCAAACAGAATGAGTGGAACTGGTGTTGTGGAAAAGAAAACATCCCAGGGAAACGGGGAAATGTGTGCGCGTCAGCAGAGGGGCTGTCTGCCCCTGTCAGCCCCGATGGACATGACGGCTGGCTTCCTCCTCCTCCTCCCTCGCCTCCTCTTTTGTCTCCGCAGTGGGCACTTGCGTGAGAGGCGGGTTTACGGCTCGCTGTCCCAGGGGCTGGTCCTGTCCCGTCCTGTCAGGGGAGGCCCCTCCGGGACACGGCGCCCTGCAGAGCGCGGAGCGGGCCTGGAGATTCCCCGCCCAGGCATGGCCCGGGCGGCAGGTCCGATCCGGCTGGGCTACGAGATGTCCCGAGGCCCCTTCCAGCCTTCCTTCTCTCTGGCACTGTTGAAAACAGCGTCTGCCCCAGTACCTGCTGCTGAAATCCCGAGTTGTGAGTCTCACTGAGACTGGCTGCGCACCCTCATTCCTTCCCCTCCTCCTTTCCAGCGAGCAAGATAAGCGTGGGGGCGAGCCGGCCTCGTCCTCCCGCCGCGGTGCGGATGAGCCCAGGCGCGAGGGGAGGTCCGCGCCTCCGCAGCTCGTTTCCCGCTCGGAGTGAGCATCTGACTGCGCATCAAAGAGAAATTCCCAGAAGCCACTTCCTGCCGCCGCTCCTGCACATGCTGCTCAGCTGGATCGGGGCAGGGAGGCGTTTCTTTGAGACTGGCACCGGCGGGGAAGGGTCCCGAGCATGGCCTGAGCCAGGCGTCCCTTGCCCTGGACTGGGCTGCCGCTCCTGGCCCCGCGGGGCATTCACGGCTGCACGGATCCAGATGGAGTGGCCGTGTGTCCCCCGGTGCAAGACAGAAGCAGGGGAGCCCCCCCCTTTCCCGCCTGCCCCCTCCACCCCGCAGGGCCCACGCGAGAGATCGCGCGTGGGTGGTGGGCAGAGGCACGGAGACTGGCGGGTGTGCAGGGAACCGGCTGCCCTGTGCTCCCAGGGCCTATGTGCTGCAGATGCCTGCTCGGGGCTCGCCATAATTAAAAGCAGGCCTCCGCCAAGCAAGACAAAGGCTCCCTCCCCCCGACGGCGTCTGGAGAAGCCCGAAGGAACGGGCTCTTCGCCCGCCTCGTGTCCTCGGCTACTTAACCCGAGCCCATCGCACCCTCGGGAGAGGCAGGAAAGGGGTCATTACTTCCAGCAAATTGTTTCTCGTCCCGAGGCCAATAGCGCTGCAGGGGCGAGGGGGGCAGGCTGAGGCTCCCGGGCCTCGACCCAATAAACAGCGGCGCGTTGCAGACTGTAATGAGCAGCCCCGGAGAGGGGGAAGCGCTGTTCCTCCCCGCAGACCTCCCCGGCTCCCCCCTTCTCCCCGGGGAGCCAGGCCCGCTCCCCACAGCAGCCCCGGAGCCTCCCTCCCAGCTGGGCCTTGCAGACAGCGCATGGGGAAGGGCTGAGGTGTCAACACCGGGCTCTGTCTTGTTTCAGCTGGGACTGGTTTGAGATGCGGAGCTCGCATCTGCAGCCCTCCCTCCCCCCAGCACAGCGCCTTATGCTTCAGGCTGCCTATTCTGGAAGAGCCTGAAAAGGGAGCCCTGTAGCAGCTTGGGATAGGAGAGACCAAGCTTGCCCCCACTGTCACGTACAGTCCCAGGGTTGGCAGGGACCTCAAAGGTCACCCAGTCCCACCCCCTGCCCAGATGTTCCTAAACCATCCCACTGAGGTGCTTGCTTTTGCCCCCAGAGCCCGTGCGCTCGGGTTTGCCCACCGCAAACACAAGCAGCCCAGGTGCCTCCTGCCTCGCCCAGATGCCCTTCGCTGGGGTTGGGAGAAGACAACTGGTCACGGAAGCCATCTGGGAAACAGCGCACACAGGAATACATCTTGTTGAAGCGTCTAGCTTAGGAGAGAGATGTTTGTTTTAAGACATCATCCTTAAGAACTGCCGGCTCTGGCAAAGCCGCAACCACCAAGTTTTTCTGGAAGAAACGTGGTAAAACTATCCAGATGTGGAGTGCCGTGTAAGGCAGGGCTTCTTAGCCCACCAGGTTCCCCCCGCCTGCCCTCCAGCCCCTTCCCCCAAGCCGGAGTACTGGCGTGCTGGCATGTGACAGTTGTATGGAGTGCCACCTTCTCCACCGCCAGCACCGCCCCAGGATCCGTTTGCAAAGCCTGTTTCTGAACTCAGGAAGGAGGAGGCTGGAGGGGGCTGGGACGTGAGCACAGTGGGGTCTCTCTCCCAGCAAATGGCCAAGAGGCAGCTGTGCTGGGAACGGGGGAGAGTGGGGCTCTCCACCCGAAGGCACATCTGGTGTGCATCTCCCCTTGCTCTCTGCCCGGCAGATACCTCGGGAGGTACAAAAATAAACACGCAGCCTTGTAAACGCGGAGATTTCTCGCCCTGTTTCCAAGCGCGGGACCACACAGGACAGCCCTGCTCCTCTCTCCGTGCAATAATCTCGTCGGATCTTACAACAACAGCATGGAGAGGGCTCCTGGCTCTCCCCCCCGGCGAAGCCCTGCAGGGTGATTGACACAGAGGGGCCTGGAGACAGCTTCCCGGCTAATTAATGAGGTGACTCGGGACTGGAGATAAAGGGCTGCAAATGTCATCACGTCCTCGGTACCGATCCCTGCGCTGGGCCAGCAGCAGAGGCAGGAAAGGTCGAGTGATTAACAATTGCTCCTGCTCCCCAAGCAGGGTCGCGCCGAGACGAGGGCAGCCCTGCTGCTGTCCCGGCCCGGGGCTGGGGACCATGCCCGGAGCGTGCTCCCGCCGGGGATGAAGGCCTGGGAGGCAGCCACCTCCCCACACCAACACGGCTACAACCTACACCTCCCCAGACCTGCACTCCAAGGGGGTTCGCTTTGTTGTTCAGCCCTGTGATCTGAACTCCCACATGGAAGCCCTTTAGCGATTGTTTGTTAATGATCATGACAAAGGCATTATTCAAATTAGGCAGGTAATTACAACCAGAAGGCGCTTTTCTTTTTTGTTTTTTTTCCCCCTCTTCTGCTTCATTTTTTTTGTTTGTCCTAGAATGGGTCTGCCGTCACATCTGATCATGAAAGTACTCCATCAAAGGTCCCTTTACAGCGTTACTCGGCCTATCCGTGCACAAATCAAGGCAACGCAAGTGAAGCCAGCCTGCAAACCCACCCCACGCTCGCTCCTGGCAGCCCCTGACTGATGCTCTAACTTTGTTTCAAATTTTGAAGTCCATTTGCATTTCAGTGATCTTAAAGCACCTTTCGATTCCCTGAGAGCCTTTTCTCCTCATTCTCTCTCTCCTCATCACCACTTAAACAGAGCAAACTTACGTATTTATTTACCTGTCAGGTAAAAAATTGCAAGATGAGTGTACCCCCACTACCCCCCACCCTTACTTCCAATCCATGGGAGCCTGTTATTTATTTACAAGCATTACGGTATCCTGTTAGCATTCCGAACAAGGGGCTGTTCATATATCTGCCTCCAATGATTTCCTGAAGGAACATGTGGAAGCAATAGTGAGGTTGTGCACTCACTCAAGCTGAAGATGTATTAAGGCTGCAGAAGGCTGCAGGCAATGTGAGCAACTGAGCCCAGGCAGGGGGGACCCTGCCAGCCCAGCCACGGGGACTCGGCTGGCCCATGCTTTCACTGCCTGCCTTTCACAGTCCTCCTCATTTCACTTGGGGGCATTTTCGCTTCAGAGACTAATTCTCCTTAGTCTGGGAGAGATGGAGCTGCTGGAGCCTGCTGCTTGACTTTGAGAACAAAGTTTTGCTTAGGAAGGAAGGGAAGGGGCGATGCACGCAGGCACGACGCGGGGGAAGGAGGAAGCAGGCAGGCGATGCAGACGAGAAGAGGGGAACCACTGTAACCTCCACTTCTTCGAGACGCCCTTCCCAGCGCCCAGGCGCGTCCGCCCCGAGCCCGACGCGTCCCGAGAGGGGCCCGTCGGACGCGTCGCAGCCTCCTTTCCTGAGGCTGCAGTGCCCCCTCTCCCACGGCCGCTGAACAGCTCCCGCTGCAAAGACCGCACGGAAAAGAGCCCGTCTCACCCCTCCAGCACAGATACCCCTTGGCGCGCACCACCCCTCCCTGTCTCCAGCGCGCAGCAACAATCAGCAAAGCAGAGATACTTGTATCTCCCGCCGGGTGATCAAAGCCCTGTCCAGAGAGCCGGATTCACAAGAGCAATTCAAAATTGTGGAGACGTCGTCTAGACAGGGTCCCCCGATCTCGTGCCGAGACCATCCCAAGCAGCCCGGGTGTCGGAAAGCAGCGGGCTTGTTGTTGCTCTTGTTGTTGGGGGTTTTTTTCCTAGCGTTACCTTTCGCGGTTTCTTTCATTCATAACTATTGCTCGCTCGGCTGCGGCTCAGTGCCTGCAGCTTCTGCCAGGCGGCTTTGTGCGCCGAGCCCTGAGCCCAGCCGGGTCGAAAAGACAGCGTGACAGTCATTTCCAGCTCAGCTTTTCATCCCGAGACTTACATGGGGAGGATGGACACACGTCCGGGCATCTGGCACACCTTCCCTGAGTGCGTGGCCGAGGAGGAGAGCTCGTTCACGACACAGGGAACACTTGGGGCTTTAAAGAAACTTTGTTTCCCCCTCCCTGCAGTGCACAGCTCTCCTCCCCCCCATACACGCTCCCCTGCCATATGGCTAAACTCTCCCCCTCTTGGCCCCCCCCGGCCAAGTCCGGGGCTGGTGGAGTCTGCAGGCGGCGAGTGGCTCCCCTGCCTGCACAAGAGCCCCCCCCGCACGCAGGCCGCAGGCGGCGGGGCCGCAGGCGCGGGGCGCGGGAGGGCGGCTCTTATTCTGAAGGGGCCGAAGGGGAGTGGAGGGGGGGCTTCGTTTCCTGACAGCTATTTACTTAAAGCAAATGATTAGTTTTGGAAGGATGGACTAGAGCGCTGGATCAATGACGAGGCGCGGTTTCTGAGCCCGTCCCAGTCGGATCTAGGGGGAGGAGGAGAAGCCACCAAGGACGTGCACGGATTTGGGGCTCCGGCGTAGGGCTGGCGGCGCGGGGCCGCGGAGCCAGGAGCAGGTACGGGCCGGGTGGGACCGTCCCGCGTCGCCTCGCCCGCTCCGGGGCCGCTTGGGAAGCACAGCCGTCCCCCCGATGCCGGCGATCAAGTCGCCGGGGGTGTGGGGGAGAGAGCCAGCGGCTGTGCAGCCCCTGGGGCGGCGCACCTGGGAGCGCCGGGGAGGCGGCGAAGGCACATCTGGGAGGGGGGCAGGATGGAGACCGGGGCCGGGAGCGGGGAGCTGCGCGGGGACGGGGATTGCCCCGCGCTGCGGGCGGCCGCGATGGGGAGGCAGAGACGGGCGGACACGCGTCGCGGGTCCCGCGCAGCTGGGTCGGGCTCCGGGCGCCGGGACAAGGGACCGCGGGGCATAGCTTGGCTGCGACCCCCGGGTGCCCTCCCCAGCCGGACCAAATGGTCCCGATCCCCGGGCACTGCGGCCCCTCACACCTGCCCCCACAGCTCCGGGGGCCCCGCAGCCTCGTCCCTCCCAGCCCGGGCTGGCGTCGGCGCGGATGCGGTCAGGACCCCCCGGCAAGGTCCGGGGAGCGCGAGGAAATGGCTTCTGGGGTCGCGGCCGTGTTGCTCAGCCCGGGGGGCTGCGGCAGCGCCAGCCCCCGGCCCCCGCGGCGCGGCTCCTCCCGCCGGCCCGGGATCCCTCAGGGC